ATAATAAATGAATATAAGTGAATATAATAATTATAAATTGTATATCCAGAACATTATTGAACAATCGAATAAGAATCTTAAATTAATAAGATTTTCTGTTTCACTTCCCCTTTTTTACCGTCAGGTATGTCATTTCCTCATTAGCACTAAGGTGGATGGAATTGGTGGTCTAGGCAGATCCAATTTTCCTAATTCTTTCTTTTTCTAATTTTAACTCTTAGTTTTTCATAATTTCTCCCAAAAAAGTTTGTAACAAGAAGTTCAAGATGAATTAATGTATGAAAAATGAGCTTCGCTTTTATTATTAGTTCATCTATTTATTTTATGGGAACTTTTCAATCAAATATTTAGTTTAGGTGCACTGCTAGAACTGGGGAAAACCTTAAAGTTCATGTATTCATTGCCTACAATCAATCAAATAGTTCACAGTTTGTGCTGTAATGATCATTATCGAAAGTTTTTCCTGAAATTCTTAGATTTTATGAATGTAGTCTTCCTGAGTTTCTCATAAAACACTTCCGTAATCTTCAAAATCCTGGGGTTAAAGGTTAGTGGACATAGAGATTCGCCACTTTTTCAGCCGCGTATCCACATGGCACGCCAAAGTTTGCTTAGGCCAACATCAACGCGCTCAGGTACTCGATGACCCCCGTGTAATTACTTTACTAAGACGCGTGATTAACCTAGAACTTAGCATCCACGATTTCCGATCTAGTCAATTAACCCAGTCTCACACCTTGCTTAGCAGAAATGTGGGCGAATTTATTTTTGGAGGGAGAGAAATGGGGGTGGAAGCTGTGCAAATACAGAAAGTGCTGTAATTTTAGTGTTTCTGTTCGTCGGATTGGTGCTGACGACTTTGGCAGTTGACGTGATGGGCTCGGCATGCATCGAGCGGATTCACTCGATTGGCCGAGGTTTGGACGCGATGGCGCTACTGCGAGTGCTAAAAGGCGCCAAAGGAGTGATTGGTAGCAAGTGAGTGAATTTTAAAATTGGAGAGGTAAATAGATGATCTTAGGGAGTTTTCCCAAAAGGTTTTCTATCCCTCTCTGCATCTCTATCGGAACGTGTTCGTTCTACGTCGCGGAACACTCTGCTTCTTTAGGTCCGCCGCCGCGCCGCCCACTCCGTTGTGGTTCGCGTTTGTACCCAAGGACGCGGCTGCGATTCCGTACATTGACGATGCGGATGCGGCGCGTACTATTGCTGCTCGTGAGAACTCAACCATTAAGGGCTCAGCTAAGGGTCAAACAGCCGAACCCCGTTGATGACCCCGTCCAACAACAGCAACAGGCGAATCCCGTTGCTGCCAGCAACCCGCCGGCAACACTGCTGCTCTACGATGGCACGGTGGAACCATCTACCACCTTTCTCAACACCGTGGCCAACCTCGACCCCGACTATGACCGTATCGTCTGCATGGGGCCTGAACCCATTCGACAATATCTTATCCCACAAATTGTACGTGAAGAGCTAGAAGTACCCCCAGCCCTTTTGACCTATTATGATCTGAGTAAAGTTCTTACTAGTAATTCCGATTCTTTCACTATTCCTAGCTCTGATGTGGATTTTGACGAAGAAGCTCGATTGATGACCTCGCGACTAGAGATGTTATCTGAAGGTTTGTCGTGCAGCTTTTTTCAATATGCATTGACCCGAATCTGATCCGGTTTCGGTTTTGGCTTTTTTGATTTCTTTGATCTCTTTTTATCTCAAAACTTCTATTGTTATGGGGTAGTTGTACATATCTAATATATTTACTGTGTATTTATATGATTTATGAACAAGTCATACAGTAAATGTGAATTAGTGAAATGAAACGTCATTACTGTCGTTGCAATCCTTTAATTCCATCATTAGATTTTCTATAAATACATTTGCGTGTGATAAAAAAGCTTGTTCATTCTATCAGAACGCTTACATTGTTTTTCTTTGAACTCTAAGAATGAAATTCCTCATATCCAAAGTTCGCATCTTTAATCTTGAGAAAAATATATTTTCAATATTCTTTAAAAGGTTTTCAAATCTTCTCTGAGTTTCTCACATCCTTATCTTTCTGAAAAATGACTTTCCACACCGTAGTTCGATAAGATCTTCGGTTTATGTTAAACTTCGTATGGTCTTCTTTTACTGGAAGTTTTATTATCGACTCGAATCAATCTCATAGCAATTCTAAGAAAACTCAAACCCTATTTTTTTCTATGAGAGATTTTTGTTGCTCTTATACGTCTACACCACAATGGCACTTTGTTTTCTTTGCTCTTTTCGTTAAGATGCTCTTGTCATTTTTAAGAGACTTAGTCTTAGTGAATTTGCACTTAAAATCCTCTTTAATGTACTAAAAAAAACTGATTGGTTGTGGAGAGTACTATGCAATTACAAGAAATAATTTTACGTCAAATTTTATATTGGCAAAATTGATATTTTAAAAGTAAATATGCATTTTTCTACTGTTTAATGATATTAGAAAAGTGCAAATTTCGATCTTTACAAA